CTCGTGCGGTGTGCACGAAGGGTAATGCAACGGCGTCCTCTTTTCGCTGTTTATCGAAATTTTTATTGTTAATTAATGACACGTGTCTTATCTTTTAATAATTAAGACTCTTACTTTATCGTAATCGGTGACACTAGTTCTAGCAAAATCGGTGTTTAAATTGTCATTCCTAGATTCTCTTTTCTCTATCCGCGATTTACTCATCATTTTGGCAGACACGGTTTCTGTCTTTTTACTTGACTTTTCTATAAATGGATAAAGTTAATTGAAAGAAATTTATTTTATGGAATTGAATACTCAGGTTCGTATTTATATATAACTCACATATATATTTATAATATTGTAATACAAATTAAAAGTAAACCTCTTATTTAATTTTTTATATGAAATATCTAACTGAGATATATCGTTACAAATATATATATATATATATATTTAAGACCCTTTTAATATGAATTCAACTATCGTGGCTGTCATGAATGACATCGTCGCAAACGTTTAAAAAAAAAAAGTTCTTTTTCATATTAAAAGAAGCAGATAACGGTAGACTTCTCTTAAGGGATAACAAAAGATTCTCTTTTATTAAGAACGGATAGCCATCTAATTTCGAATTATAATGTCACTTTATATTTAGAATCGAACAATATTTCGCAGTATGAACGTAGGATATAAAGACGCGCGACACAAAATATTCTAAATTAAAATGTAATCAAAATCATTACGAAATATACTCGAATTGTTAGCTTTTTTCTTGGCAGGTTTACGAGAAGACTTCAAGGTATCATGCTTTTTTTTCCTGTTTTCAGTCCCAACGCGATGTTTGGAATGTCTAATATTTCTTTTTATGCGTTTTCCGTGTTGCTTGTTTTTTTTAGACAAGACTCCTCTTTTGTGTCTTAAATACGGTATATTTACGATAGTTGCAAAGTCGAACGTGGACCCGCCGTAAACATTTGTCTCATCAGTATTGCTCCAGAAATTTCTTGGAGAAGAATCAAATATGTTCACGGAATGGTTCAACTGATGACGGATGATCGAATCGTTGGTCGGCTCGTTTCTCTTAACGCGAACGTGATCCGCGAAATCCTGATCACTTTTATTATCAAGATCCTCGCCGATTATCACCGGTCCATTATAATCTATCAGAGTCCGCTCCTTTGTATCCTCCATGACATTTTCAAGTTTTCCACTAAAATTTGTATCTTTAGCTATTTGATCGTTTACAAATCGCGAGGTCTCGTTCAAAGGTCCAACAATTTCGATCATTTCATTTTTATAAAGTAATCTTCTTTTCCAAAACTTTTCGGAGGAATCACGTGTC